GCACCCACAAACAATGCCCGTCTTCGCTCGCGAAGAACATCTGAAAAGTACTTTTATATTCCGAGAACATTCAATTTGCCGGGTCTGAGATGCTCATGACTTAGGGAACAATTTAAGTTGCAGTATTTCTTCTCTTCATTCAAAATTACGAGGATTACGGATCCAAATTTTTCGCTTGCGTTTTTATTATCTATCATTGAAAATTCTGTTTTTAAATATGAGGACTTTGTTGATCATGAATTTAATGTGCAGGGCCGGGCACATTCTGCAGTCAGATTTAAAAGCAAAGATTGTTCTTTATTATAGGTCCTGCACAGTTTAGATTAGGGGTGGGGAACATTTTCATGTTGGAAGGCCGCATTAATTTAGCTGTAATCAAATAAGGCCGCCTGCAAGAAACTTCAATTAGATATACTTAAAAATGTACATTATTTTGTAAAAATTTTAACTACTATGTACTAAATAATTTCAAAAAATGAAAACTAGTTGTTAATTTTAAAGTTAACTAATCTTTTAATGACTTTGATGTGTCTGATTTTTGTTGTAAAGCATTTAAATGTTTAGTTGTAGCATGGAGGTCCACAGTTTCAGTTGATCTTCTATATGGGTATCCGTCATTTGTGACCTTAAGGGCGTCTTGAAAAATGTATTAATAAAAATAAAAGTATCTGTTCTGTAAAATTTGGGTTCAGTCAAAAGGCTGCACTTAAGGACCTAGAAGGCCACAGGTTCTACACCCCTGGTTTAAATCGAGATTGTCAAAAGTTGGTGCCTTTGAAATATTTGTACTGAATTGAGAACAGGGAGCCACTTATAAAGCTACGTCCCTCCCAGTAATGGAAGTTTTCTTACAAATTTAATAGCGAATGTTTGCATAAATAAATGTATCAGTGAAGATATCCTACCTCCCCCCCCCCCTTCTGTCTTTTGCGGTCGGCGATACAAATCACCCATAAAAATTCTTGAGACGTTTATTTTAATTCCATAGTTATTTTTTATTAATCATACAGGAAATTCATTGCTGTGAATATGACCAGTACGAGATTATAAGATGCTGTGTTTTCCCTTGGCAGTTACTCTTACCACATTCTTGCATTATTAACACAGGACGAGCCCTACCTCTTAATTTTATACGTTCTTTTATTGGCTATCAACGCGGAACCAAGCTCGACCGGAACGAAGCAGGCTTGCTGTGTGAAAAACCTTTTTCCCCTTTATTGTTAGAAAATACCACTCGAATTGATAATTTATTGATTGTCTGATGCTATTCCCACGACATATGGAAGCGTTGTTAGAAAGGCGATTTACAGAACCAGATTAATTGTTGACGTGTCTGCTTGATAGTTCAGAGGAACACCGCAAATCAAATGTTTTCACCGAGACAGTTTTTTGTTTCAGTCGGTCAATGAGACGCGTGTTTTCGGATTTTCCTCAGTATCTTTGAGCATTCGATTTTCTGCGTCACATCTCTTTAACAGAATTCGTGTCAGCTCTAGCGGTTTTCACGATCAACACGCTGGGAACACGGATTGTTTCGAAATATGACTTCTTCTGGAATAAATTCGAGGTTTTTCCGACATATTTTCCCGATAGAAGATTCCGATTAAGCGTTGAATCTGAAAGTCGTGACAGTTTTAAATAATGAATTCTGTCATTGATTTCGTATTCTTCCGACTGAATATTGAGTTCCAAATTTTGATGTAGATTAAATATGTTATTTATTGTTGTTTATCAACGCTGTGTAAACTCTGTAATTGGCACAACATCGTTAAATAAACTAAGAGACGAACATATTTGATAATGCTATTACGTTCTTATCTCTAGCTTCTCTTGAAGTCTGATGCGTTCACTGTGTTTTCTTTGTTTTTCTTCATTCCTTCGTTGTTTGTTCCTTGTTTATATGCTGTTTAGTTGTACTTATATCCGTTAAATGATTGTTGCATTTATTATTTATTATTTATTATTTATTTAGTGTTCTGTCTGACGACCGGTCCATATGAACAGGATCCTTCCCTCTTTTTCTCGGACTGGGCCCTGTTCATATACGTTCTTGGCAGATGATCCAGCAGTGGTTTGCCATTGCCTTCTTCTGTGTGTGAATGGAGTAATTGTTGGGATGCCACGGAGAAACCGGGGAAGCCTCCGTGTTGCCTAGACCACGGCCTTGCCCAACACAAGTTATAAATTCGGGCACCGCCGGGAATCGAACCCGAGACCCCAGGATTACAAGGCCAGCGTTCTAACCGCTAGACCACCGTGCGGTATAGATTGTTGCATAATGAACTAGATTATTTTTCTACTTATGAACCGGTTAGAACTAGCTTCAGAAAGAATGTGCTTTTGTTATTATTGTAAATCAAACCCAACTCTGTCGTTTATATTATTTTGCTCCAATAATTCTTAAATGCTTTGTGTGATTGTGGTAAATCACGAATTTATGTTTATTTGTAAGAACCGGTTGCTTACACTTACTATGTATAATATACATTATTTGAGTTGATTGATATACGATCATTCCACCTGTAGCAGAAGCCATTTTATCTCCTAGCCCGCCTATCAGACAAGGTGGAGAGATTGCGACCTAAATATCTGAAACTCTGATCTTTATGTCTCTCAGATTCTTTGTTTTCTTCGATCAGTCACGCATTTGTCCCCCTCATTTTAAGTATCATTATCTGTTTAAAAGCATTTGCTACGTAGTTATTCCGCAAATTTTGCCAATATCAAATTTTTATGGGTAAACGCAACACTATTGCACCCTTTTGAAAGAAACAAAATGTTTGTGAATTTCGATTACGCTTCGGTAATATCTATTCTACTATACTGAAGTATTGTTTGTGTCTTTGTTAGGAGTGAAGAGTTCTTGAAACAATAATGAAAGTTTTTAAAAGGAAAAAAAAGCTACTTTAAACTTATTAAGTGGCATTTGGTTCCAACTAAGCTAAAACATGGTTCCAGTGTTTATCCTGGCTGTGTTTGTGGTTTTGAATTTCAGTATTTTTATTAATTTAAAACAAATCAGGAGTCCGATCCCAAGGGCCAAACGTTAGAAGACGCGAATGTTCTAGGACAAGCCGACCCTGGAGTTACGAATTCGAATCCCGTCAATGATATTTATGTTAATGTGTTTATTATAATAGCTTATCATGACCATTAAATGATTCAATTTTACCGAGATTTATAATTAATAATCTATTAATTGTAGGCCTATGCCGAGTTCAATTAAAATTTGTAGAAGGAAAAAAAACAAAAGTTATATTTGGCCGTCAAGTTAAGCGTTCTATAAACAAATGAAGGTCACTGAAATTTTCACACTTTGAAACTGATCTATATAGCAGATTGTTTTAGTCTGTACCAAGTTTAATCGGAACCTGTCAGAGGACCCATACAAGTTCATATACGTTCGAAAATAAATGGCATCGAACTGACCCATAATCAAAATAGCTTGACGAAATTTAATGTAGATTTGCCTGGCCGAATTTATACGAAATCGGTCCAATATTTCCAGCACTGATACTAGAAGACTGACGTGACAAATGTAATTAATAAGGATATTCTTCGAATTCGCCATTTTTCCACCTTTTTTCATGGCCAACTAATGTTTACACAGTATGACTTCTGTTTCTGGGACAGCGTTTTAATGTTTCATGTGCCCTGCAACAGCGATCACTAATGTAGATGCGCATTTAAGATAAAACGTTCGTTACAAATGTGTGAACATTTATATCAGTTATTTACGCCAAGTCTGATGCAGTCTATAAGTTCAGAGTTATAATAGGAAACATACCATGCAGTTTGATGAACTTCGTCCTTGCGTATCCTTTCACAATTGATGCACACGCGTTGTGTTAGCCTGAGTGCCTGCAGGCACAGATAACAACAGGATGCAGGAGACTGTGTGAAAACAAAAAGTTCAGTAATCAATACAAATGCAGAAGAAAGTGTCATTTATTGATTCCACCATGAACTTGCCCGCTTAAGGTGGAACGCGTGTAGATCTTTGCATCTTTCCACTTCATGTAAGCATCCGGAAGGTAGGATTAAAACTTGGAGACTGCTGACATCTTAAAATTTTATGTTTCTGGGAGACTGCTGACATCTTAAAATTTTATGTTTCTGTAGATAAAGTGATATCTGTCTGAGATTCCAGTAACCTCGCAACCAAAATTTCCTTTCAATGCCCCATGTTCACACCGGTGTTAAGTCAGTTTCGGCACAAGAATGTTCTTGAATACGTGGATCTATGGCGCATTCAGTATAGAGACTGTGGTAACAACTGAACGACCGGGCTTCGATTCTCGGTATGGAAGAACTTTTCGGTTTGCCACAACGTCCAGACTGGCTTTATGACCCACCGAGCTTCCTATACATTGAACATCGGTCTTCTTCCTTAGAGGTAAAATGGTCAGGGCGTGCAGGAGTTACCAGTTAATGGAAGAGAGATACGCCTGTCTCGATCCTAATAACCCACTTCCTTGTTTGTCATTGTGTGCCATTTCTGGACTAAGTCCCACTTGACAAATTGCAAATGGACTTAAACATGTATCAGATAAAGTAGCTTTAGAGAATCGTTGCTCTTGGAAATTAAATCCGATATACAAGCCCGTGTCCTTTGTATGTTCTCTGAGGACTATCGTTCGATAGTCGAAGTTTGAGTTTTTTGTCCATCGTCTAAATTATAAAATTACTTTTTGAAATTTGTATTCTGATTTCATAATCTGGTAAGAGGGGGGGGGAGATGATAGAAAATCTAAGTTCAATTCCAAGTCCCGTTGCGACTGATGGTCTGGGGCTCATGACTAGATTTTGCTACGAACCCTCGTGGTTGACCTATCTTTAGACCTGTTATGTTATCCAACAGGATGTGAACCCGTGACTGAGGAAAGGAGTTGAGAAGTTTCGGTGGTCACGTACACCACAATTTTTAATATGCATAACCGAAAGTTTTCCAACTGTTTCATTTCCACACTTAACATGCATGTTTCTCCTTTTTTTTCCAGCCGAAATCCAGAGCTAAGGAACTGTACGCTCAGACATGTGCGCACCTTGGAAGCCAGGGAATGCTAGATTGCGAACTCTTTGGCTTGGCAGTCGTGTCAGGTGAGTACGGACCCCCCCCGAGGACCGAGGCTCTGACTGCGCCCTGAGAAAAGCGGGAGTGATTGTCTGCAGGGGTCTCACTTTGTTTACTTTTAAAAAATGTTGCTCTCAGTATATATCTTTCTCAGCTTTGTCAACTGTGAGGCGATTTGTTTCATGAATTTAACAGTACTATACGAGCTACAGAGATTGAATCTGATATGGGAATTATCATGCACGTTTGCGGTTGTCACCAGGAACAACTAAAGAAAACTACGAGCAGGAATTGGGATGCTTGGTGCTCCGGGTTTGATTCTAACTCAGGTTCTTCACTGCTCAGCTGACACTTTGGGACACGCACAGCATCTCGTAGAACAGTGGTATTCAACCTTTTTCGTTCGCGTACCCCCAGATATAATTTCTCAACAACTTTGTACCCCCAAAGTTGTCGGTGTATAATTCAAGTTATACATAGTATATAATCTACATCTAAAATAAATTAAATAAATTACATTACTGATTATTCAGTGTTTATCATAAAATAATATATTTTTTTAAATTTCACGTACCCCTAAGATGTCTTCGCGTACCCCAGGTTGAATACCACTGTCGTAGAAGATTAAAGTCGATACTTTTATGTAAAGAATACGCGCATCTTTGTTACTTTGTAAACGCGGAGTGTTGTAACATGTTGCTTGTTGTGTGTCACCTGTAAAGTGATTGAATAATCAGAATGACTACCTAGAAGTGGTTCTAGCCCAGGGACGGTCAACCTTATAACGCCGGTCTCAGTTAATATCGGACTGAACGCTTTCAGTAGTTTTAATGTAAAATGTGAGTGAAAGCAGTCTATTTCCTTAAGTATTTCACTATTTCCGATGTAATTTAACAACTATAAGTGACAGCTTCTGGCTCTGTCAGCCATAATGCGTTTTGTATTTTATCCGCGGTGGCACGAGACATGCTTCAGTTAACTTGAAACAGATGAATAATTGGAATTGCAATCTTTGAGGTAAGTTGTTAATTCCGTGAGATGAATTCTTTCAATTTGAAACTTACAATGATATATTGATTTATAATTTCATATCTAGACGGGAAACGGCATGAATCACGGAGAGGCTTATCCTATTTCTGAGAATGTAAATGTTGACATTACAAATTTTGTTACGCAGGTGAATACTGAAACTTAGAATTTTATTTTGTCACGAGTGGTGTGCCTATTTTAAAATAAATGTGGCGGTACATACACATTTAATTTACAAGCAACAAGGAAATTCCGAAATGAGCTGATGGAAACCAACAGCTGAACAAAATTTTTCTGACTACCCGAAGTGTTCTCTTTTATTTCTTCTAGTTCAGTTTAGTCACAGGGTAGTACAACGTCCTGGGAACGTGTGTGTGTGTGGAGGGGGGAGCTGAAGTAAAACTCCACTGATTCGTAACCTCGGTAGTAGATGGGCTGGTGGTAATTAGTACAACATATGACACCGACCACCGACGTCATAATCAAAGAAGGACGAAATGTAAGCCTGGCTATTGGAAATAAACATCCCGTTTTGTGGCAAAGTGTTGAAAGCTCAACTGTACGATTTAATCAAATTAAATAAGTCAAAGAGCAAATAACATGTGATTGATCAGATTTTAGCAGACAAAGAACGTACTGTGCTGAGACTTTCGCGGTACAATCCCGATTTAAACCCCATGTAAAACAATGGGTTGCAATCAAGAACAAAACGTCTAAAATTAAGGACGTCGAGCATCTTTGTCGCCAGAGATTCGAAGAAATTGGGCAAGAGGAATGGGATAACATATGACAGCATGTGGAAATACTAGAACAGATTTATTATGAGCAAGAAGGCATACTCGAAGACTCTATTGAACGTAATATAATTGAAGACTATGGAGTGAACAGTAGCAGCGGAAAAGATGAATCGAGTGATGTCAGAAAGCGATGGTCTGTGAGGAGTGGAAGAATTGGAAGAGGACCGAAGAGTTGTGAAGAGGTAGAATTATCTAACACTCTCTGCAGTGTTAACTTTCTAGTGAAGTGTAGTGCAGTGAAATCGACATTCCTGTGTTACATACCGTGGTGATATTTTATTTGGAGCGTACTGTACGCGGCCTGCTGCCACCCCTTCCAGCAAACATCTGGTACGTGACTCGCTCCGAGGTTTGAATTCACAAAGTTCAGCGGCCAAAAACGCTGGAACGCAGCATACCTGGGTCCAGGGCGGTATGTCGCCTGCGTAATTTATTGCGATGCGGCAGACGGCCAGAAGAAGCGTGGCTGTCTGCAGAACGTGCCGGCGTTAGGTTAGTAGGCAGGCTCTGGGGCCGCATTAATTCTGAACTGTACAGGTCTCAGAACAGTTGAATTCTTGTTTAACTTCGGCCTTTGGGGTTGATCTGCGTCAAATGTTAACTTTCCCCCCGATGTTTCTCCAAAAGTTGCACTTGTGATCTTCAGGTAGAACGTTTAGTGGTTGGGCGAATTAACCCTTCCTTGACGATGGAGGCAGCAGGCGCATCTGAAACGTCGGTAAACTTCTACCAGACTTCATGACCCAGAAGACCACAGCCTATAACATCAAAACTTATTTATAATATTTATTTGTAATTAACACCAGGGCTAAGTCACTAACAAAGTTCCAACTAGACATTCAATGCCATATTTTTATCAAAACTAAAGTTCCAACTAGACATTCAATGCCATCTTTTTATCCAAATAATATCTGCACTTAGGGCGTCAGTAACAACACACTGTGATCGAAACCCAGACCTGGCTGATTTTTAGATTGTCGAAAAAAAACGTTTGGCCAGTTCCGTAAGACAAATCCCGGCTTTTATCCATTAAATGTTCACATTTTATAACTCGTCTTCCTGACCTCAAAAGTCGTCGTGCATCTAATGTGAAATGCACACACGAATAGACACTATGGCTCAAGGTGTTTCCTTTAGCTATTAGACTGAGTTTGTACGTATTATATGCACATTGTACAAGCTTGAAAACTCGTGATCCTTTTATTAGTTTCACATCTTGTGTGAAATTTTCTGATTCAGACTGTACCACTCTCTCACTCACGTATCACAGTAGCAGTCCACGTTCTCTTTCCACTTCTGGTTTACCACAATTCTTCGTTTGGTACCCACGAATTTCTCGTGCTCTCTTCTCTTTCTATTATAGACTGCTCTCTTCTCTTCATCAACATTACCCATCTTGTTTTTGTGTCCACAGATGCAAAGGAGCTTACAGGCTTAAGTGTATGAATAGCTTATAGAGCTCCTGTGTACCTTTGTTCCTGCTCTGAGATTTGTAGCATCTCTCGTGTTGTAATCATCCACTCTCACTTTAATTACGTACGAAACACGGACTGAGCATCATACCACATATCAGACGTGTTGTAAACAGTGAAGTGGTGTTTGAACATTAGAAAACACATTTCTGTCATTAGCGAAGCCAATAGTCTGTTATTTTATGTTAATTCTTTGAAAGACTTCTTCAAGACCATTAATAAGTAGTAAGATGTTTCATTTTTCACATTCAGAAGTGTTTGTACTGTCAGACTTTTCATGCAGTCCAATGGCTTGCCCCTCATTCAGTACACCGAATTTCCAGCTCAGATGTCGTGAATGTTACATTGAATTATTGAATTTCCCTATGAAAGTTACTGCTTTCCTCTTCCCACGTGTGTCTACAAATTACAATTTAAATTATTCAGTGAATGTCATAAACGATTCAAATCAAAATAATTTCGAAGATGGCTGTCTTCTGGGTCGTGCCGCCCTGTAGTCTGGTAAAAGTTTAAACAGCCCAGAAGACATCCATCTTCAGACTCACCGCCGTGAAAACCTCAAATCCTACGAAATAATTTCTATAATCTGGAAAATTTGTTTTCTTATCCATTACGTAAATGACAATCTAAGTTTATTTAAGGACGCCTTTTGAACTGAAAGTTTTGCAAATCATAGAATGATAGAATATTTTGTAAACCATGAATTGAATGGGCTGTGAATTGAAGCGTTTCCCTAAAGTGACGGATGTAAACCACGAAAAGCCTTAGTCAAGGTATCCAGTCTCGGGGCAAAATTGCCTTGGTTGCCCTACTGACGTCATCGCTCGTGATGTGGCGTAGAGAATATGTCTGGAATTTTTGTGTACTCCAATGAGTACATATTTTAAATCTTCTTCTTATTTTTTCTTGAAAAATTGGAGATGGAGAGTTGGTTGGACCAAACGGCTAAAATACCTCTCCTGTTTAAGGAGATAATCTCTGTTTTAAGTGATAATTATACAAAACCCATAAATACCAATTGAATATTTATTGATTGTCAAAACAGTTGTAACGTGTGATTGAAAAAAAAAAACAATCCTTGTGTGCAGCATTTTTATGTGATGTCATCTCACCACTAACGTCAGCCCGTAATTTCCCTTTGAATGTGGTTGTAAACTGCGTAAGCTGGGAACTGTCGAGTGTTCTTTATCACACAAATTCCGATCCATTTCGAGCGAAAGATTTGAGTCTGAGAAACTGTATCATAAAGTGGAAATGTCAACAGTTGCTTGTGTCTGAATACACTTATGCCTTCCATGCATTAAATAGTGGACGAGGGAAAATGAAAATTGTAATATGTGACTTGTGTATCAAGTATGAAAATAACGTAGCTCGTAAACTAAGCGTAGAACAGTAGCTGTGCAGGTAAGGGATGCTGTATTACATGGAAGCAAGGCTACTGCTGTAAGTCCAACCACGGTCGTTCGGGCACGCGAAGATCCCTTGTTAAAAGAGTTGCTGTTATTCGTTATGTGAGTGAGTGATCACTCTGCCATCTGGATTGATATTTTGTCCGCTGTCACGTAAGGATGCAGGCAAAGATTTTTCCTATAATTAACGAATTTTTATTTATTTATTTAGTATTCTGTCTGACGACAGGTCCATATGAACAGGATCCTTCCATCCTTTTCTCGGACTGGGACCTGTTCATATACGTTCTTGGCAGATGATCTAGAAGTGGTTTGCCAT